TTTTCAGAGGTCCGGGTATTTTATAGGATCGAATACCTTACAGCCTCCTTCACAGGAACCTGTAAATGAGAACCTCTCCATAAAACCTTGCTTACGCTTGCAAAAATGAGACGTTTAGCTCTCCACAAGTAATAGTATTGAAAGCTTTTTCTAGACGGGGGTCAGGCGCATTTTATTGTCAGTGCAGATCCATTCAAAGTGGAAAAGGATTGAGCTAAAGGACATCTCAGGAATACAGGGTTGTTACTCCAGCTCCAGCCTAAATGACTCGACCGAGGCTAAAGTATGAATCGGTGCCGGCAAGCAGGGCTGGAAGCCGCAGTCCCAAGCCTTGCGTCCGGAGCAAAAGATCACGTTCACGAAACGAGTGAAAAACGTGGAGGGAATGCCTACCTAGGTTTGACTCCTTCACTCATCTCAGACTGAAACGAGGTTGAGCCCGTGGGCTAACACTGAAGTCATTCATCCAGACAAGGCCTATCCATGACAGGCGTTTAAAGTCTTTCCTGGGAAAAATCCCCCCCCCAGATGGGAGTAAGAAGATGTTTCCATTATAAAATCATTGTGACGACTCAGCTGTTACTTTTTTGCCCTCGGCCTGGGAAGCATTTCTTGCATTCTTGCCTCAGCTTACTACCTTAGCGGCCCTTCCCGTGCAGCGCCGTAGTAATTTATCATCACCCAGTCTCCAAATTATTCTAGTGTTGATTAAATTAGTAGATGCAATCACAATCTGAAGCAAGTTAATTGAGAGAATTTATTTGGCCCTGACAGTTTTATGCATGTTTGATTAAGTATTATAAGGTTTGTTTTTGATTTTGCATAATTTAACTTTAAATCCTGCGCTGGGGGGGGGCATCAACTATTAATGACCGAAATAAACTCTTTTAAGATGCATATATTTATGATTTATTTCTAAACGCAATATCTCCAGATTTTTTTTTGTTCTGTTGCCAAAGTGACAAATATGTTTAAAGTAATATTTTGAGCCATTCGGCTCATGCTATAAATCTTGTGAAATGTATACAATTCATTAAAAGTTTTGAAAGAAGTACAAGTTAGCATTTATATTGCAACAAGTGACATATAAATGTGTATGTTTGTCTTCAAAGCGTGCCATAAAATATATCAGCGCTAGCTGGCCGCTGTGACTAGTACTAATGGCCCGCTCTCTGGGCCGATGATAAGTTTCATCACAAATCTTCAACGCTGTCAACACAAAACTGTTCAATCAACAGGAATATGAGTTGTGTCTTTAGTAAAATTAGCACAGGAAAGAAATACAACCGAGGGCGCTGCCCGAGTGTTGTGGGCGGGCTCCTTTCGGGCTGAACTACAAGCGCTCCTTCAGGACCTCACCTCTCTGAATGTCAAAGCTTCGATTCATGCCTGACCCGAGGACAGTTTATTTTTTATGAAGATACACATTCGTTTAAGCAGCAAAGGGGTCAAAATATTTCAGGCAGAAAACTGAGTAGTGCCGTCTTGCCTTTTTTTTTATCGTCCCGACCCAAGAAATTAAAAGGGTCAGCCTCGGCACTGACGCTGCTGCGTCGCCCCCTTGCACAGAGGCGTTTAGGTTGTGGGGTCGCTCGGGGGAGCTGCCTGGGTTTTTCTGGAGGCTAGGAAAGACCTCCAGACCTCCCTTCCCACCCCGAGGGGTTCCTGCAGGATGCCAGGAGCCCCCCCCTTTGCAGCACTTGCATTCAGCAGCGACCCCGCAATTCTCCAAGGCGAAGCTGGAAAACCAAAGGACCTTCACAATTTTGTTGCTGGGGCCGAAATTCCCACCTCTGGGCTGTGGCTCCAGTCCCAGGCAATGGCGGAGGGGAATAAAGGGAACGTGGCGCCCCTGCTTATCTTAGTCACGGAACAGATGTTCCCAGTTTCACGCTATTAGGAAAATGTATCAGCTTCGCACCTCCCCTTCTCCCTCCCACCCGAAGGTATGTGGGAGATGCAGAAATGGCAGTTTGCTAGGAGCACACCACCGCTTATTACCTTGCCTATAATTTCCCCTCGGTGTACGTCCCGCCTCTCAGGCCCCTCGTTGTGTTTGGGGAATAAAACCGCCCTGCGGGGCAGACGCTACCGCAGGTGAACAGGGAGGAACCAAACCGGAGCGGGCATCGGCGAGGCGGTTGGGACGCTGCGGGGTTTTTGGCCTGGTGCCTCAACTGTCTCTGCAGCGCAGCAGGTCTTAGTATTGGCAGATGGCTCGAGTTATTATTATTTAATGTTTTTCCACCTAGACGGCAAGTGGGGCAGGGAGCCAATGAAAAAGTTCCGTATTTTTTCCATTACGGAAAGTAATTCCTAATTACATCTACGGGAAAACAGCAGGGAGGAGGTTTCTTTTCCTTCTCTTTATATTGCTTTTGAATTTTCCTCCACCCGTTTGTATTTTGGCAACTTTTTGGATCTTTCTGGCCTCCCCAGGAGTCTGGGTCTCCTACATTCGCCATTTTACCACCTCGCTTTTTTCTAAAAGTGCTTGAGCTCCTTCAGCGGGGCGAGGCCCCGGGAGAAGCACCGTCCCTCCCGGGAGCACAGGCGGGGGTGCCGCGGACTCCCGAAACACAACCGCCCGCACCGCCCCGGCCCCTC